TGATGGTTTGAACATTGATCGCTTCGCCACCGGTGATTAAGGTGTCGAGTGAGGAAAAGGCACTTGGCGAGGCGTACGCAGTGATATCAAGTAACGATGTTGTGAGTTGGACAACGTTGAGCTTCATACGCTTAATATAGTGAGAGAGCTCTATAGGATCGAGTACTGTTTCCATAGGAATGCAAACTATTGTCGCCCCGTTCAGTAAGCTGCCCCAGATCTCTACCAACGAGATATCAAAGGCCACACTCGCTATATGACCGACACGGTCACCTTTCTTTACAAAGGCCGAAGGATCGTGGCAGAGGTTGATAAGCCCCTCCGCAAACGATTCGACGGCTTTTGGCTTGCCAGTCGTGCCAGAGGTATGGAGGATATGAGAACAGCTCTTGGGGCCCTTGAACAATGGCTCAAAGCCAGAATCAGAAGCCTCAATTGTGTGGTCAGCAAGGACATGTGTGAAGGTCGGCAGTCGATGTCTGTGCTCTTGATCACATATGACGAGATTGGAGTTGATATTGCGCAGCATGTCACTGAGATGATCATCGGACATATTGACATCAAGAGGCACGCATGATCTACCCGAGTATAGCACGGCAATCTGGGCCAGAACATGATTCATTCCTCTCGGGATGAGGATTCCAACCGGAGTTTCGTCGCAGGGGCAGAGCCCATGAATTTGCTGGGCCAGATACAGTGCTTTCCAATGCAAATCAGCATATGATAATGCATGCCCATTGCTCTCAACCGCTGTTGCTGCACCATTCGCAGAAGCTTGCGCTTGGAAAAGAGCCCCAAGGCCTGGGTTCCATTGATCCTCTGCTGAACAGACCATCTTGCTGGGCAACGTGTATCGATGAATTGGCGCAGTAGGCATAATGAAATGAGTAGTAAGTAGCAGCAGATCGTCTGTCAAAAGATGATATGCTGTATTACCAGATGATTTGAGTATGCAGTTATCAATGATTTGAGTTACAACAACTTGGGAGTACGCTTCTAATCACCTATGTATTAAACTACTGCCACTGCAAGTAGGAGCTACTTACTGTGGGATCCAAATCCTCCAATGGATCGCTAAGCCCTCTCCACGAGCATCAAGAGTGTTATTCATTCTAAACCCGGGTCTATGACGGTTTGTAGATAATGGAGTCACCACCTTTCGTATAAGCTACTATTCTCCGCTTCTTAACCTCAGCCTCCAGCAATGGTGGTGTCATGCACGGGAATCATCGCCACGAATGTCCGAGGAATAGGTGGCACTCTGCTCTAAAATGCAGACAGAAGGAAGACGACTTCCGCAAACAGCGTAAGTAGTATAGAGAGGATTTCCCAGTTAGTAGAGGATAAATACGTTAATACTACAGGTATTCCATGGGCTCGAGAGTCATGACCAAGAGGAGCGTAGCAGCTAACTCCACAAGGTATGGTAATCCAATTTCTACTTCATATAAGGCTACAGTGACGCGATGCAAAGAATCCAGAACATTGTCCTAAGAGCGAAGAGATCTAGGTTGACGTAACCTTCATCGGCTGAACAAAATAGCTGTTCGACCTGAGATCCGTCGAGGTAGCATTGCGGTGATATGGTGCGTCTAGGCTTTGCATTGCGTTGACAGCTTTACAAAACTCCTGGGGCATTAGGCAACACAACAAAACAAGTTTTGCTTGATAGAAATTGTACAATTATCTAGGAACCTACTGTTCAATATCATGCACACCTTCCTTCACGCTTTGCAACATGGCCTTGATCATAAGAAGTTGTATCTCGACAGGCCAGTACCACTAGTCTTTCAGCTTTCGGTAGCTACCATAGTAGAGAGATGTTGAACAAGTTCAAACAAGTCCATTCAGTTTGCTTAATGAATTGCATCATAGGATCTGTACTACATTCAATATAAACGTCATTACATGAGTACTTGAGTGCGGCGAGGCACTTGGTGTGGCCCCATTTACTTAGGCATACTACCATTGATGTCATAAGTCTAAATTTAGACAAGAGATTGACGATACTATACTAATTCCGGACTATAGGGTGCGATGGTTGTGTAGCGCACTTGTATGTTGAGTGTGAAAGGAAAAGCCAATAGAATGGAGTTGCTTAGGTAGAGAGTGGGAATAACCGTAGACAGTCGTTGGAAGATCTAAGACAGTTACGTTAATGTGACCACTCGACTGAATTTGACGCTCTTATCCAACTTGGGCTTCCTATCCCTGGTGTAGCCAGGCGAGCGTCAACGTACCCAACTGGCCTTTTCCGATTCAGACCGTCTGCAGCGTACCGAAGAGGCTTTACAGATGTCATAGCAATTCCGCAAGAGGTTGCGACACCAACGCATAGCAGTACCCTGGCCGTGGATCCTCTTGCTGCTAAGCAACATTTGCGTTATCCGCACTTTTAGCATAGTGAAGTCATCACATAACCCAAAAATCTACAAAAGCAATATGCACCGAAATTGCAACCCTGGGGCCATGTCCCATAGCACACCTAGGCCACCGTTGCAGTGGCAAAGCTGTTCTATGATGATCTGGGCGCGCTTATAGACATTATTTACCCAAGTGAATGGAGACACCACTGTGGATACAGGGTATCCACCTGTGTCTGGACGTACAAGTCGCTCGCTGCTGGATGCATGCAGCTATGCCTAGACCGGTACTTGTCTGATCAGTACGTTGCTGGTGTTCCATTTGAAATTCTGTCCCACCCCTTGAAAGGAATATAAGATCCACTAAAGCACGCCTCAAGTAATCCTTGTTCTATGTTGAAGTCCTCGTTTAGTTCTGTACTCCAGTGAAGGAAACAAAGGAGCGACGAGAATCATGTCAGCCGAAACGAAGACCATTGCTGTGTATGGTGCTACAGGTAAGAAGCCGACAGCTCCACGCCATAACAAGTAATTTAAAAAGTATAACCCCGTCGAAGGTACTCAGGGGACTGCAGTCGCTCTGAGCTTGCTCCAGAGCAAGCAAAATTTTGTGGTGCGGGCAATTACTCGGAATCCTAAAGCACCTAAGGCTCAAGCACTTGCTCGCCTGGGAGCAGAGGTAGTGAAAGCAGATGGATTCAGTGATTACGAGATGCTGGCGGCGCTTTCCGGAGCTTGGGGCTTTTGGCTCAATACTCATCACCACGATCCAGTAAGCAACTACTCCGAAACGAGCTTTCGCCGCAGGACCACTAAGAGAACGAGCTAACTACCATCGCAGGCACTCCTCACTCCTGAAGGCCCCGATGACGAAGCGTTTGGCAAACGCCTTGTAGCGCTTGCTGCGAAAGCCGGCATCAAGGTTCTCATTTACAGTACGTGCGAGTCTCCTGCTCAGTTTACGTACAACAAGGCACCGGTACCTGGTATGGATGGTATGTATAACTTCCCATTATCTTCTCGCCACATGAGTATATCCTAAGATCGCATCATAGGCAAGAACAGAGTCGAAATGTTTGCTCGAAGCTTTAAAGAGTTTGATTCTGTTATCGGTGCCTTTCCTGGATGGTATATGGAAAATTTCTTGTCTGAGGAGTATGTGTCTTGCTTTGGAGGCTTTCCATCTGTTCCAGATGCCGAAGGCTATCTTAGCTTCCACAGCCCACTTTGGGGAGGGCATGGGAAAGTTCAGTTTATCTCAATCGCGGATGACTTTGGAGAGATGGTCCATGGAATGTTCCTAAATCCAGCAAAATGGAAAAACAAAACCATCCAATGCTTCAGCGACGCGTTTACTTACGACGACATGACAAAGATATTTACTGAAGGTGAGTAGCTACCCGAAACCAATCCATGACAGCAGCCTAATCAAACTTATTACAGTTACCGGAAAGAATGCTCGATATGTTCCTATGGACTCGTACAACGATTTCCCCACCAATGGCAGTACCGTTTTGGAAGAGATCCAAGATGTTTTTAGATACGCCCAGGTAAATAATGGCTGGTTTTTCGGAAATCCAGACAATATAGACGATGGACGTGCCCTCAAGGAAGCAGCTCGGAAAGATAAAGGACTGCTGGTTGAGCCACTCATCTCCGTGAAACAGTATTTCGAGAAACATTTCGTCTATCCAAACTAGTATTACGAACTGCTTTGGATAAGCACATTTTGGCAGCGTCGTCTCAGTGATCTATACTTAATATTCAAGCCTAATAGCCAAAGAATACCAGATCTCTACACTCAGTAGTCTTGAGGAACTTCCGGCCTGTTGATAGTAAAACACTAATTTACATTTTAACGAAGCACTACGTACTTTCTCTGGCTATGAGTCCCTGATATATTACAATGGGAAAGCTGCTAAAAGCTTGATTCGTGGAGTATATGCGGGTATTCTGAATCATGATGCTTCCTTGACAAAGTTCAAAATAAAGCAGCATGGGTTTCTAGAACCTTGGTAAGCTGGTATTACCGGTGAGGCCGGTCCCTTCCCTCCATAGATATTAGATGAGACGCATATCCTTGTCATAGAAGCTTGATATAGAGGTCTCGCCCTATGGATGGAAATATTTCTAAGGTGTCAGCTGTCTCAATGGTACGTAAGTGATTAGAGGTGGCGCTTTCAGCTACGGACCGTCGGCTCTCTTCGGCTGTTAACGACCATACGACGCCTAAAACCTTGTCCTCCAGTCACACTCGCGTTTATTTCTTGGAATATATGGAATCTAGAGCTCGAACCTCGCCGATAGACGTCATATTGAGTAATTCACTTCTACTGAACCAGTGGAGCAAATAATCCACATACTGCGGCGTGCTGTCTGGTCGTCACAGACCACGCAGGAGCAGGTAGTAATCGAAACCCGAATGGCCCATCTCGCCGTGATAACAGCAATGATGACGATTTGAAAAGCTGTCAATATTTGGGACGTGGCTAATATTTTGTCAAGGTTATTCGCAAATTATAAAGGGTCCCTCGACGTGTCATTCGGAACTAGGAAGCTACACCAAGCCGCTTTTCGTCAAGAGGGAACCTCAAGTAGGCCCTTTTGCACCGACTAGTATACGTCGCACTCTGAATGATGGCTTTCCAGCAGCTAGGAGCACAGGCCGACGGTCATGCAACTGTTGTATTTCCGGGTGACCAAGATTTTGATGATAGCGTAAAGCGATGGTCTGCTATAGGCTTTCGACGACCGGTACTACCCGCTACCCTTACAAGCCATTGTTTCCTTACTGACATAGTCCGTACAGGGTGTAGTGGTTCTCCCCACAGATGTTCAGGGAATAGCGAGGACTGTGCGGTATGCAAAGGATCACCAGCTAGATCTAGCGGTTCAGGGTGGAGGCCACTCCAGCAGCACCGCTTCGTCGACTGATGGAGGCATCTTGATGAACCTCGGCAGGATGAACCGAGTGGGCGTCGATACTAGCACCCAGACAGTCACCGTTCAAGGTGGTGCAACATGGGCTGATGTGGGCCGAGAAACTGCTAGGTACCAGCTAGCCGTCAACGGAGGCACAACTGGCCAGGTTGGGGTTGGGGGTCTCACTTTGCGCGGCGGGTTCGGATTCTTGACGCCGCAACATGGGGTGACTCTCGACACACTCCTTGCGGCAAAAGTGGTAACCGGAGAAGGGATCGAGTTGCAGGTGTCCACAAAGGAACACTCGGATTTATTCTGGGCTATTCGAGGTGCTGGACCAAATGTTGCAGTGGTGGCAGAATTCAAGTTCCAGGCTTACCCACAACCGAATTGGGTCTGGTCTGGATTGAGAATCCACGCATCTAGCGAGGTATTGAAGGTCGTTGAAGCCCTGAATGAGGCGCTTGTTCACCCCCAGGGGAAGGCTGCGGCGCAGTGTATTCTGTCTTTATCCCCGGAGGACGAAAGAACCCCGACTGTCTCTACGGTAATATTCTTCAATGGCTCCGAAGAAGAAGGAAGGAGACATTTTGCTCGGTTGCTTGAAGTGGAATGCATCGAAGACAAAATTGGAATGAGACCCTATAGCAAAACACTCACTATCTGGGATCGATTGGCGCCCCCTGGGGGTCGGAAAAGAGAACTAGGGATTCAAATGACGTTACCACCCCGGCTTGCGTTTGTCTCACAGCTCATGGACAAAATCAGTGATAAACTTACCAAGGAGCCAGACCTGGGTAAAAGTGGCTTGGAGATCGACTATCTTGACCCGACCCAGACCTGCCGTACTCCCATTACAGAGACCGCTTTCCCTGCGCGTGTTAATCTCCTGCATGCGGCGCTCATGTTAGACTGGACTGACGCCGCCAAAGATGAGGACTTTCTATCATGGGGACAGTCAATCCAGAAGATGTGTGAAAATGAATTAATTAACCAAGGCCATAAACTGGCACACACAGTGTCGAACTTCAATGGTTACACTCAAGGTTCGTTCATGTCATAGGTTAAAGAATCTTTAAGGCAGCAAGCAATGCTGACATCCACATTAGAAATGAAAGTGGCAGCTGCAGATATGTTTGGCGTAAATGCGGATCGCTTATTGCACGTCAAGGCAAAGTATGATCCAGCTAATCTTTTCAACAAGCTTAACCCGCTTGATCGGGAATTATGATGGCGATTGCGGTGATCAATGCTAGCAGACAACCAGTTGCTAGGGTTGCTCTACGCATGCGCTAAAAGCCGCATTTAACTATCCGAGATTGCAGATGGCGGGTTTCCAATGTTATTTTACTGGATGTGTTTGAGTGGTTAATATTGATATTACATAGGCTACATGCCGGCTGAGAGTTGCATAATCAAACCGTAGAAATTAGAACCAACCCTTACCAAACTCTTCAGAAGTTTAAGTTCAATCCCTACAAATCCATGCTGACTGGGTCTCTTACGGCCCCCCATCAGCACTTTTCCTGTATGGACTAGGGTTGATATTTTTGTGGGTTAGACCGGGTTCCCCTATATTTAACCTAACCTGCCGAGGTTGGGCCCTAGATTACTAGGGCCTATAACCTAGTGGGTTCTAGGTAGCTTAACCTGCTAGGTTTTGTTCTGCTAAGGAGGATATTCTCTACCTATTTGATCTAGTTAGTATAGGCTAGGGTAGGCCTATAAAACGAAAAACTCATTCCACGAAAGCATCCACACTAAATCAACTATCCTTTCCCTTTCAACCTATAGTGTATATCAGATAACTGTCACCAAAAAAACAGACACTAGTGTTAGATTTGCTTAAACTCGGGGAATTCCTCCTCCGTCCAAACCTGCCAAACAAGCCGTCCACCACTAACAGTACCGCTTCTCATGATATCTAGAGCACTGCGCGCCCTATCCAGAAGAGTCTTCCCTTCGACCACCTGCTGCTTGTTCGGTTTGATAGCACCTTGGGCCAAAAGTGCAGGCATAATTTCCGGTTGAAGATGCTCTCGCAAAAAAAGCATTCTAGAGATAAAAAAGAAATTTCAGCCCACAATCAATCGCTGTCAACATTGTCTACGGCCCTAAGGTGGCAAAGCAACTGGATGTATAAGTTATGACATACCTCTTCGTAGCTGTAGCTTACTATAGGATGGACCTCGACCCCCGATGCCCAGGGAGCCTCCTTCGAGACATAAGCGGAAAGCTGCAGACCATCTTTCTTGGCCGAGCTTCTGATCACGACAGGAAGGACAGCCGCAACAACAGAGCCTGGCTGTGTGGCAATCTTTGAGATTGGAAGCAAGGAGCCGAACTATGAGTCCACGCAGTCAAAGACACGAATACCTTGGGAAAGCCCTTGGCTACGTAATAAGTCGAGAATGGAAGTGATAATGTTAGAATCGCGATAGTCAAAGATGTGTGCCGCCCCGTAGGCCTTCATTGTCTCATAATGGTTCGGGGAAGCTGTTGCTATCACATTTTCGTATCCCTAGTGTTTGAGGATTTGCACCGCGAACTGACCCACGGAACTGGCCGCACCCCAGATTAGAATTCACCATCCGTTATAACCCAGCACGGGTAGGGTGATCCCTGCTCTGGTAAACTAATACCAAAGGCTAGTTTCGCCCCATTAACACCAGCTCCATAGGCTCGACTGAAGCACTGTTAGCACCGACGAAGGAATATACTATAGGTGGATGTAGGTTTATTTTGGGCCCATGCATCCATCCTCCCAACATTTGGGATGAGCTAATCAGGGATTCTGCGTTCCAGGGGCTCCTTGATCGGCGGCAGAAACAAGAGCCTCGGGGATTATCCTATCCAGGGGCATGATGGGTCATCTTTGAGCAGGGGTCCAACCTCTTCCCGACTAACTCAAAGAGTTGTTTCACTTACAGAGTTGTGGAACGCACACTTCCACTCTGAGGCTAGGGGTCACCGGATTTTACCCTGTCATCTGCCACCTTAAGTCCGTCAATGCCATATAAAGAAGCCTTAGACCGAGAAGCCACCTAGTGGTAGAATGTCTAATTATTGTGGGCGTGTTTGCCATAGGGCTCATGGTCCGCTTAATGTCGGCGAATACCTATCTGGTCGATTCCTGTCTTATGCATGCGACCTCGGTAACCACCGCCGCAGACACGGCGCTGCGGTCGTTGGTCGGTGCTGTTCTCACATTGGCGGGGCCGGCCATGTACGAAGCAATGGGGATATGTCAACCACTGGACTACAATATCCTCTAAGCATTGCAGTATCAATGTCCTGCCATGACAAAACGGAAGTGTGCCTACAGTTACTTTATCTATACGTAGGTCTATACCTGGGTGACCTCGCGTAAATCCTGGGCTTCGGGAAGCGGATGCGATGCAATGCTGGGATGATATAATACTTGCAACCTGACCAGACCATGAGTGTCTAATGCTTTCGTTCTTTCAATATAGTATTATTCTACATCAGATCTATTGTAAAAAACTTTTGCGCACTCATAAATGAATTTTTTCAACGCTCAGATTATATTTCTTCCCATTGATCGATCTGGTTGCACTATTTAGTTTGATATCTAAGGGAGAATATGCTGAAACAGCATCCATTCTTGGGTTGCCATGTCATTCATTGAAGGCGGAGCATGATCCGGTCTGCTTAGACCTCAGTGGCGGCTTGGAGGATCGCGTGACAGCATCTGTTGTCGTTTCCTTTTCCTCGAGCTTTGAATTACCTGCAAATCTGACTTTCCGTCGCCAGTCCTTGAGCACCGGTGGGCAATTTTGAACATTGTCCTGGTGGCATGGAAGACGCCTATGAGCTCCGCTACATGGACGACCTCCAAATTATTTGGTCCCACCAGGGCTACTATTTGATAGATAATTGCTTAACTCACAAGTGCCACAGAAAGGGCTTCCACTTCATGGAAACACGCATGCTGACGATACCAATATCGACGATGTCTCCACAAAGCACAGGTCCTACGCTTGGTGAGAGAGCTCCAAAAACAAACGTTTTGGGCAAATTTGTACCACAAACGTACGTCACCAGTGGGAAGTAACAAACCCATGATCACAAAGCGTCAGAGTTATGCATTACACGCAGAGTTTCAGTGTAATCCAACAAGTTCGTAGAAACATTTGACCGTGCTGTTTGCGCAGCTCCCTAGCAGGAGGAACTCAAGGTACAGCACAGTGATGTCAGTAAACTATGAAGAGTTGCATATTTCGGCAAGACTGGCGGTGCCGCAGTGGCCTGTGCGGCGTCCTTCACCCACTCCTATAATATAGTTCTTCAATAGGAGTATGGCATGATTGTTGTGCCCCGTCTGTTCAACAGACCATAATAGAGCCGCAGCAAAACACACCCGGCAGCGACGAAGAAGAGCAGGGCGGCATTTGTCCAGTGGCCAGTTGGATACCCCAGCGTCTTTTCGTTGGACTTGTAGATCCAGACCCCAACGATCTGGCCGGGTGCGCCAAATGAAACATTCAGTGCAATGGCCAGTCCGGCAGCGGCGGTCGAATACAAGTTTGATGATAGCCAGCCGAGCAAGGGTGGGATACAAGCAAAGCTGCCGCTGGCTGCCACAATCAAACAGCCATAACGTTGCTGTCCAAAAGCGTCAGAATCAGGGCATCTGTAGTACATGCAACGAGAGAAAAAAAGTGTGTGAGAGAAAAGGAGGGGGAGAGAATGAACTCACGGCATACGATTCGGCAGGTAAGAGGGCGGATGCCAGGAAGCCGACCGCGCCAATCAGGGCGAATGAGGCGGAATGTAACCCACGACTATATCCCGGCGTCAACAGAAAAGGATCGCAAGTAGAAGTGCTCGGAGGTCGAACTTACGCATTGAAATGGTCGGCAGACCAGGCCACGAAAATGGTCACTACATACGCGGTTGCATACGGAGGAACCGTCATCAGCTGCGCGCGTAGGTTCGAGAAGCCAAGACCAGTCGTAATTGATGGTGTAAACAAAGAAAGACTAGAAAAGGGTGTCAAGATACCGAAGTAAAGCTGGTTGGTACAAGTCAGTATCCGTCGACTTGTCGATAAAGGATATCCATCCACTCCCAGTGACCATCCTCTTCCCCTCATTTCCATTACTTACCACAAAGTGGGCATACAGTCGCCAATCGACCAGCGTCTTCTTCGCTTCCTCCCACGTCAGCCCAGCTGCCTCCCCGTGCGAGCCTTCAAACGCGAGTCGCTCCTTTGCAAGTTCCTTTTCCTCAGCAGAGAGCCAGTGCGTCGACTCCGGATAGTCTGGTAGGAAGAACCAGACAAGTACCGCAGATGCGCAAGACGGCGCCCCTTCAATAATAAAGAGCCACCTCCACGCAGACAGACCTTGGGCACCATCCATATGCCCCACACCATATGCAATCGCACCACCAAAAGCGCCTGCTAGAGTAGCCGAGGCCAGGATGAAGGCTACCCGCAGGGATCTCTCCGACACGCGGTACCAGAAGGTCAAATAGTAGACCAGGCCGGGAAACAGGCCAGCTTCCACTGTGCCTAGTAGAAACCGGACTCCTGTTAGCTCGCCATAGTTATGTACGGCTCCTAGGCCAATAGTGGTTGCACCCCAAGAGAACATCAAAAAAGCAATCCATCGCTAGGGTGTCATCAGGTATTAGCGGAGAGATAGGTGGGAGGATTGCTAGGGGGCACGAACGCTCGGCCTCAGCTTCTTCAGTAGATAGTTAGACGGTACTTCGAAGAGGGCGTATGCGATCAGGAAGATCATAAGGGCAATGCTTATTCCATGATTAGTTTGTGACCGACAACTGTTGACGGGATGCAACCGTACGTATATTGATATGAAGTAACACCGGTCTCGGTGGCCAAGTCATGGTGCATGTTTGCGTTCAAAGTTTTAGCATTACCTTTGCAACGTTAGCTCCAAGTGCCACAGAGCTATTTAGTTCTTCCTGGCTGCAAGCCAAAGCTAGTCTTACCAATATTCGAGCGATCCAGGTAGCAGAGCAAGTAAATGAAAGCGGCCAAAGGAATGATACGAATATCCTGCTTCCGGAGCAGTGCTTTCTCAAGCGCAGAATACTCGAGGGCAGCGCTACTGGCAGATACCATCTGGTGAGAAGGAAATATGTCAATTGTCCCCAACCATAAACAAGGGTTATTCTCGACGTTGCCTGGGCAGCCAACATACATCTTGGTGCTGGCAGGCCTCTCCTTTCTCTGCGCAGTCTGCCATTTCCACGGGGTACATGAGCTCGTCTTCTTCGATTATGTTGCGACTCGATCAGCAGGACGGCATGTTAATCTGAAAACCGGTGAAATTAAGTGTTCCTCACTGGACGTCTTATGTTTTCGAGCTGTCGGTGACGGATTGCGGGTCCGCTGTCCGATAATTGCGGAGTATTCTGGGGAAAAGTGATTGATACCTGACTGTCCCAACCATGTTTCAGATCCCGCCTGGGCGGGGCGTCGGGCCAGACGACCGATACCATGGTCATCTACCGCCGCTTGAGAAAGATCAGCGCCAGCTGCTCACGTCCGTAAATTTTGTGTGTAGTATCTGGTCCTGCACACTAAGATGGACGGACTTGGGTGCCGAAACACTCATGCTGTCGGGATGAATAACGGACTGCCATGCCGTAGATACTGTTAAAAGGCCTACTCGTTATCCACGGTGCGCGTGGCTACGAATATCCCTCCTTCTCACAATCATTCACCATTTGACTCTTGTTCGGAGCGGCGGATTTCCGTGAAGTAAGATGCTCAGAAAACGGCCCTTGAGGGTTGGTAACGTATCAGGCGCGACAGGCGATAGCCCCAATGCCATGCGACGGATGGCGCAGGATGGCAACGTCGATGTGATTGTAGGTGACTGGCTATCTGAAATGAACATCGCATGGAATGCTATCGCCAAGGCCCAGGATCCTTCTCTCGGCTACGAGGCTGGCTTTCTCCTACAGCTGAGCGAGTCCATTGATCTTATCATGGAGCGCGACATCAAAGTGGTCACCAATGCCGGGGCGTTGAATACCGCTGCCCTGGCGGCGGAGACTCGGGCAATCTCTCGGGCCCGAGGACATCATGAGGCGAAAATTGCGATGGTTTTGGGAGATGATATATCGGGTCTGATCAAAGACCCTGAGGTCCGCCGCAATTTGACTCATTTGGATCACGGTGACTGGCGATTCGAAGACTGGCCCATGGAAGCTTACTGCGGTGTGGCTTATATCGGCGCTTGGGGGATTGTCGAAGCCCTCAATGCAGGAGCCGATATCGTGATTTGTGGCCGAGTTACCGATGCTTCTCCAGTGATTGCTGCTGCCGCTTGGTGGTATCAGTGGGGCCGAAATGCTTGGGATAGTCTGGCGGGAGCTTTAATTGCAGGCCGTAGGTGACTACTCTCCGAACATATTTCAGGATAGTTAGTTTCTCTTCAACGAAGCTTACTAACCCCATCAAAGATTTGATTGAGTGTGGTCCGTATATTACTGGCGCCAACTTCTCGGGATTCAAAACGCTGCTCCCAAAACTCATCGATCTCTCGTTCCCCATCGCCGAAATCAACGAAGACGGGACATGCGTAATTACGAAGTGTGAAGGGTATGGTGGCGCGGTCACCAAGCACAATACCACAGCCCAGTTTCTGTATGAGCTCCAAGGGGAGCAATACCTGAATCCGGATGTTGTGGCAAATCTCCACGATATTCAGATCCAGGACATTGGGCCAGACAGGGTCCACGTCCATGGAGTAACCGGAGTTCCTCCTCCAGCGACCACCAAAGCGATTATTGCAGCGCGCGGCGGATACCAGGCTGAGGCCACGTTTTACATTAACGGGCTCGATGTGACCGAAAAGGCGGAGATGATGCGCAATCAGCTTTTGCATATTTTCCGGGATCACTCGTTCAGCAAACTGTCCATTGAGCTATACGGCTCGCCTGCAGTGGATCCCAAGAGGCAGCAGGCGGGAACAGTCTCGCTGCGCGTATTTGCGCAGGCCAGGAATTTGGAAGATATATCCGCACTGAAGTTTAAGATTCCGATTTATGCATTGCGCATGCAGAGCTATCCTGGTAAGCGCACGGCTCCCTCCACTAACCCCTACCAACAACTTCTGCTCATCCAAATAATCAATTCCAGGGTACCACATGAACCTCGATTTCCGAACTATGGACCCAAAACCATTCATGGAAATCTTTCCGGCAACAATAAGCTGCAGTCTTGTAAAGCACCGCGTTCGGATCTTACCAAACGGCCCGGAGATTCCAATTGTTACGCCCCCTTCAACCACCAAACTCACACCACAACCCACCTACGAAACCCTCCACCCAACTACACTATCCATGTTCGGACCAACAGAAGAAGCCCCGCTGGGGAGCATCGTCCACGCTCGATCTGGCGACAAAGCAAACAACAGCAACATCGGCTTCTTCGTTCGCACCGAAGAAGAATATCCGTGGTTGCAATCGTTCCTGACAATTCCTCGGCTGAAGGAGCTTTTCGCTGAGGATTGGGTCGAGAAGACTGAAGATGGGGACCATAGACAGGTGGAGCGATGCGAGTTTCCAAATATTTTGGCCGTGCATTTCCGGGTCTTGGACTTTTTGGACGGTGGCATTGCGAGCTCTAGTAGAATAGATGGACTCGGTAAGGGAGTTGGGGAGTACCTGCGCAGCCGGGTGGTGCCAATCCCTGTGAAATTTTTACAGAGGGAGTGGATTTAGAGCTGCTTTTTTTTTTTTGTTTTTTCATCCTTTTTAATCTTGAAAATGTTGGAATAGCGATGTAGATATAGAGTTGATAAGGGTACACAGGACCTCAAGTTCAAATCTTCCTTTCAAGATCTTCCTGGATACTAGTCATTATTCCCCCATGATTGCACTGCGTGAAAAGTCATACCCCCAATCTCTTGCAGCCAATCTTGAGAAAGCTGTCGGATCGGACCGTCACCGCTATATGTATCGTGAAAATGCTGAAGATCTTCGAAGCAGTCTCGCAACACTGTGTCAACGCCCAGAGGGACGGAGGTGGCTGTGGTCATGGGCGGTAATGTGGCACCGCTACCGGAGGATAACGGAGCATTTAGATCTGGTTGCGGTGCTAGCATCGAGTTACGAGGCATCCCGGAGTCATTTATCGACGTCGAAGATGTGGTTAACTGTGTAAAGTAGGCGATAACATCAGCAAGCACCGCATCGCTGAGCCGATCAAAAACCTGGTGACAATAGCGTGGTGTAGCCCATCGCTCGGACACAGCCACAAGCACTATTGAACAGGAACGACAGGTATTGACCACTTCAATAATAGCCGGATCAGTAGAAAGAGTGCTTCTTTCCAAAGGTGCGCGCGTATTCACCTGGCGAGCCCGATAGTGTCGACCCACGGCATAGATGTAGGACAGCCCGGCCATGAAGACAGCGTGGAGAGTGATCCACGTGTAATTTATGCGCTGGGAAGTGTGGAGTAGGGCATATCGTGCAATCGCCTCTCGGGATGCGTCAAAGATAGATTGGAGAGTGGCTAGCGAACGTGCTGATATCGAGGGCAAGACAGGTGACGGTCGATTTAGCATTAACAGCGCATTATAGTATAACAATTCGTACCATTCCGGGGACAGAAAACAGGAGCGCCGGGTATTCTCGCGGCTTTCGGGGTGCAAGCGTAGATTTTCGCTCTCATTTCGCCACTGCTCGAGCTCTTCTATTAACGCCACCCGGGCCGTTGCCGCGGAGGCTTCATCGCGTGCATCAGCACGGTTGCTGTGCAGCGAGGTCATCACCTTGCCACTTAATATCCTATATCGCGTGATGTGATTGAATATTGCCGTTGGAAATGGTAAATCTTTGTTCCACAGATTCGAATCGCTCGACTCAATGATAGGCTCGGGAAGAGCAGTATCAACATCTTCAAGATGAATAGCCAAGGGCCGGCCTAGGGTGATGCTTACTATCCTACAGTATCTGTTAGGTATAGCCCTGGTTTCAATCCCAAATACTGAACGAACTTACCGATCCATATTAACGACACACCAGAAGCATCGTCGGCGAGTTTCACTCGCAGCCAGGAGATCTTCATTGTCCGGGAGGCCACTCGGTTTGTAATACGTTTCATTACGATGCAGGCCCTGTTCGGAACACATGCGGGCAGCGAATCCAACCATATGCCAGAGACTAGCTGACGTCTCTTGGGTTGAACTGGTCATGCGATATTGGCATAGCAGGAGCAGGGCCTGCAAAGCGTGAATATCGGCGCGCTGCAGGACTTCATTCACACGCGTCATCGCTTGTGCTTGAAACTTCTCGCTTTCGGGCAATGATTGCCAATCACACTTGTGTGCACTTGTCATCGCAATTGCAAGCACCATGTAGAACTGAAATGCGACCACGGCATCGGCTTCTAACACTATGCCGTCGGTATAGATGCGATCAAGGTTTGCCATCACGGAGAGATGATTTAGAAATGGGTAGCAGAGATGGTGGTGATTGAAGTATGCCTGGTGTAATTGTCGGGCGACCTTCTCAGGGGGTAATGATTCTGACGATATACGTAGTGACCGGGTTGTTGGAGTAACTGGCCGCGGGGATGCTCGATTTGTGGAATGCTCATGGCGGCTAGATGAATTCAACGATGCCACCCCCTGGACGAGATGCGCAAACAATATGTCGCTAGCGATATTGGAATAGCTGCGCTCGCCTCCCGCATGTCGCGAAAGGAACGATACTTCGTCGGCGACCTCATTACGGTCAAAGGGGAAGTTTGGACTGAGGACTGATGGCGGAGGATTCTCACGGCGCTCCTGGTGAATGCTGTTGTGCGGCAAAGATTGGTATGTCGCGAGTTGAGAAGAAAGGGCACGATTCCGCGCTTCAGCCTGCCGCAGTCGCCGCTCAATACGTTCGACGGCCTCGCGGCGGACGGTCGGCTCCTGGGACCGATTGACATAGAGGCAGGCTGTGCGAGCTTTCTGGCACTGCCCACAGGTGGGGACCGCTTTGTCACACTTGCACTTGCGTCGGTAGCAGCGGTCACAAGCCTGCATGACGCGAATCGGGGACAATCTGCTCCTGTATCGTCTTTTCTCTTCGGTGCGCCGCGCGGTGGATTTGTGACTTGGGGGGAAATGGGGAGAACCATGAAACCCCGCTGTTCGGAGGGCGGCGCCGATAGCCGACAAGGCTTTGTGTATTGTGTCCGGCAAGACAATTGCCGAGTGGTATGCGTGCTCTAGTTTTCCCAGAGCTACATAAAATGAGCCGAGGAGAACAATACCTGAGTTCGCGGTAAATTTATTCCTAGTACTGGCCCACTGCAATGAAATATTCCGGATGTTTTGTGGCGGCAGCTGGCCTACTCTCCGCCCGTTCTTGCTGGGCGGCCAGTTGTTCAAGGCATCTTGAACCAGTTCTACCAGGAACTAGCATAACCAGTGCGGAAGATGCAGTGCTAATCCGGTCATCGCACAATATTTCCTATTGTCGAGTCACCGGCTCCGTGGCCTATGGTTATCACAACCACTCCGTCGAATTTGAACTGTGGCTGCCATCGCGCGACTCGTACAATGGACGTTTTATGGTCGTTGGTAAGGATTTCTTCTTTCCCATGTTCTATAAGGCGGCTATTGAACATGAACAATGTAGGGAATGGGGGGTTTGCCGGCGTGATTGACACGGATCAGATGGCGTTGCAATTGGAACAAGGATTTGCAGTAGCGGGGTAGGTATGTCCACGTTTTTTACTGCCAAGGAGAGCTTGCCTAATCTCCGATCGATATAGCGGTGACTCCGGCCATCGACTGGCAGGTAATGGGGCTGGGGGCTCGGGGTCTTATATCCCGTTCCTCAACGACGTGGAGGAAACAAAGGCATGGATCCATGAATCCATTGCAATCTTCACGGAACCAACCCGCAAAATCACTACTTCATTTTACAAACGGCCTCCCCGTCACAGTTATTATCATGGATGCTCGACTGGAGGCGCCCAGGGCTTTGCACTGGCTCAGTTCCATCCTCACCTCTTTGACGGCATCTATGCTGGGTCTCCAGGGAACTGGTACTCTCATCTCATGCTTTCTTTCCTATGGAATGGGCGCCATGCAAAGGTAAGCAGTGGTTTAGTTTAGTTCTTGGCCAACAAACTAACCAGATCAGGCGGATGGTTTCATTGATCAAGCTGCTCTCAACGCTACCACAGAAGCAATACTCGATGCCTGTGATGAGCTCGACGGGGTGAAGGATGGCCTCATTGGGAACCCACTTGGTTGCAATTTTGACATCGATTCACTGGCCTGTTTACGTGAAGTCAGTACCTCTTTGACAAACCGAACCTGCTTAAATCCCGTGCAATTGGAGTCACTGAAGGCCATCTACGCTGGGCCAATGGACACGACGACTAACACAACCATCTACCCGGGCTTCAGTCTGGGGTCTGAAAGAGAGTTGCTAGCGCAAGAAACTTCGCTATATGAGGCATTTGCCGCGCCAGTTCTACAAAATTTGGTATTTCACAACGTTTCCTACGATATCGACACATTCAGCTTTGGGCTCGATGTTGCAAAGGTTGACGAGGTGGCCGGCCCGCTCATTGACGAGATCGGAGTCGATCTCAGCGCGTTCCGACGCCATGGTGGTAAGATGATTGTGACGCAAGGTAAGCACATATCCTATGAGTATGAGTATGTTTTGGAGCACAACAGCTAATGAGGATTCAGGCTGGGCTGATTCCCTCAATGCGGCAACGTGGCCCATCCAGCACCTTGAACAGCTACAGCATTCCAGTACTGATACCTTGGTCTCCAGCTTTTATAATTTATACATGGTTCCTGGTATGTCTACGCTGACAGCAGAAACTCATTGTTCTACATGATTGAAGCTGACTATATCAGGTGGTGGTCATTGTGGTGCGGCAAATTCATATCCTCATGTGCCGGCTACATACCATGTTGAAGAGGCACTCGTCGCATGGGTAGAGGGAAATACGTTTCCTAACTACATTCTATCGTCGAATCCTCCTGATGGCTCCTCGCGGACGCGCAAACTCTGCCCTTGGCCGAAGACGGCGAAGCTTCGGTATCAAGCAAATCCCAATGTAGCTGAAAGCTATGAATGCGTCCATGACTGAGGCTGTGCATCATAGCACTAATTGGCAACATAGTTTGTTAGGACAAGTCATGTATGTAGTGTCGGGATGCTGCCTTTGTTCTTTACAGGAAGGACGGTCTGCCAGGGATTTTTTTGTATTATGGCAACATGAGGACTCGTACAAGGTTCCCTAGTATATGTTTAATCACGTAATATTGTTCTATAGTTACAGCGTGAAGAAGGTGCCGCGCGTCAATTGAGGATGCGTAAATCAAAATAATTTTTATCGCCGACTGCCCAAGGCATTCATCCTGTATCTGAAATCTAGTGTTATTCGGAAATGGTCTGATTATCGCACCCAGCTAAGTTCAGGTTGTGACCCAATAAAAAGAGGGCCGTTGTTCAAAGATCTCGAGGCCCTAAGATGGTCTTGAGCAAATTCGGGTGTCATGTGTTCGAGGAATCAGGTAGAATAATTTTTAACCCACTTTTTAGGTGCATTTTGCGTGATGTTTGCTCCCCGGGCGCTCCATTGTGGTTAAGGGCAATTCGTTGAAGTTGCAGTCGATGGTCGTCCGTAACTAGCTAGGGGAAACAGACTGAGCTTATCAACCTACCATGAACTCCGTGACAAGCGCGGCTAACGCTTTAATGAGGGATGCATCCAGTCCCATATCTGCTTAATGGCTGAAGCTTCCCGATCCTCCTCGTCCTTCTTCCGGAGCCCTCTTCAACGGTTAAGCTTCGTGAATGGGCATATGCATACACGCGACCATCTGATGATGTATTATAGCAGGCCGTTTATATCATTAGTTGATTCATGAATACAGCGGAAATATAGGAGAACCCAACCCAAGGATGCAGCATCGCTTAAGGCTCTATTTGTTTTGCTTTTCATGTTTTGGGTTGACTTTTCCGCCTCTCTCTGGGTTTCCAACACTTCAGCTGCTCGGCAAACTGGCTTCGGCAGTGACGTGTCGGATCAACGCGGTCGAGCGAATATAGGTCGCAATTGAGCTAGGAGGAAGCAATGATAAAATGTCTACTCCAAGGAGATGGACTTGATGCATATATTTATATGACATGTATTCTACGTGAACTGAGGACTAAACCACATTCAAGCCCCATTGTATGTCGTCAATTTTACTGATTGTTCCCACGTGCTTTTGGCTTTAAGAGCAGGGAAAACCCAAAATTCAAGCTGTTCCGGATCTGTTTCCGGGAGAAATACTATTCATCGCCTTAATACCTATCCTTAATGCCTACTATTAAACCACTATTGCAGGTAGGTAGCCAGCGCCCGAATGTGGGCGTCAAAGCAGCAAGGTAACAGATGCTGGGGTGGTTGAGGACTGACATATACTGACTGTTGTATGAATTTTTATTTTCTTTTAAGTATCATCATCGTCTCTTTTCTTGATTTCGCGTGGTCCTAATAAGACCAGGGAAGGTCAGTGTCAAGCTTTTGCCTCCCACGCAATGAGTATGGAACCGAATGATGGGCAGGGACCTACAATGATTTTATATTCCGCCTAAAGTCTAAAATATTCATTAATAGCCTAGAATTTGCCATTGACTATCGTCATGCAATTGTTTAGAATTAGGCGAAGCCCGACATCCTTTCTATCATCTTTGATAGAACAAGTCAGCCATGAATCACGATCGTGTGGGTTACATGGTGTTTGTCTAATTTCTAAACAATTACATGACTTACACAAAATCATGTATCACGCCTACACCGTGAGCAGGATAAGACCTTGGGAAATGGAGCTCGTCTTTCATGATGATTAAGAGTGGATATACTGTTATGTCCTCCTGTAGAGCACATCAGTCTGTTAATGATTCTATTAATATCATATCTTAATTTCATCACAAGCCAGGAAGTATAATGTACTATAGATATATCACTATAGTCGTTTGGGACAAACTGCTCAAGTTTCATCATTCACCTTAGTCGATCATCCGTCATCTTACGCCACCTTCTTTGTGCGGTCGTATAATATCGATTGTTAGCAAATGATTGTATTTCGTACCTCTTGGACATTTTTCAGCAGAATAGCCCAGAAAGATAGCCTAACTTCTCAGGACAACATCATATATACACCAACTAAGTATTTAGATAGGTGTTTCTTGAAGAAGATTTCCAAAGAAGGGTCATTGATTTGCTAGGCATAACTAAGACCTTTATTACCATTCCTTAATCACACTTCAGACGGCTTGACTTAAATTCCCAGTGTCTTATCTTTGTTGATTTAGTAATTATTTCTAAAAAGAGTAGCAGACTATACTAATATATTTTTGTCGAAGATAATGATAAACTGACTACTAATAAGTATACTTTTCATTGTGTGAGATTTGTGCTTATTCTACATCTGATAATGTAAAGTCTTCCTCTTTTCTGTTGGGTTTAGCGCCTTGCTACTCGGACCTTCAGCCCTCCTTCAACCCCCTACGCTGCACTGCCTGAATCGTCCCAGCCAGACAAACGACTTTTGAATACCATACGCCGAAAATTTTGATGGCATCACCCAGCTGCCGCGTTCAGGCGATAATACCCACCTTACTCACCGTAGGAAGACTACTTCGAAACATTCCTGAATCTTAAGGGACGTCATATAACTCCCTGTTCCTCGGCGTATTCAATACCTTATCTCGCCAGCGCTGGTCTGTTGATCTAATCAATCAACGTTTGAAAATTGGGATCAACAGGTGATCTTCATTAGTCTATCCCGGAAATACTTATCTCGGCAGCGCTGGTCTATTGATCTAATCAATCAACGTTTGAAAATTGGGATCAACAGGTAGTCTTCGTTAGTCTATCCCAGAAATAGTGAAACTGAAGAAGAACGTTGGCGAGACTCTCCGTGTGATCAGTATTGTCCCACTGCTCAGCCGCTCCGAGAAAAGTTTACAGGAGGAACACGCGGGAAATCGCTGGAACGTTTCCACTCACAGGTCTCACCGTTGCTGAATAATCTAATCGTCCGTGAGTAAGATTTCTGTAATCACGGCCAGACTCCGGACAATCTACGAATGAAAGCCCTGATCGGCATGCCGAGAGTCCATCCGAAGGAAGAAGTGGACCCTTTCCCGGTGAATCCGCGGGTGTGGAAACTTCTCCCGTTTTAGTAGAGTCTCATGTCGATACGGCTCCGTAGGGACTCTAGATGCAGAATTCTGGCAATATCATATGGAGAAGGGCGGTGCTACATACAATTTACCGACAAATGTCGCCACATGGTGTCATACGCACGAAGACAGCAGCGACAGCAGGGGAATGCAGGCAGCGGGTGACCCGTCCATCCAGTTGGACCCTCGAGGTAATTTAAACTTAGGGTGCGTTTCCAACCATTACTGTGGGACAGGGATCCCTTTTTAAATGAGGGATCCGCTGACAAATGATTACGCAACTGATCCCTGCGCTGTCGAGGGTATGGAGGGACCGTGAAACATATATGAAGGCGCACTACCACGCAGTTCTATCGGATTTTTAGGGGTCATTTCATCACCTGTACAAACCATGTTGGGAAAATTCTCATTCCTCAGCGCCCTGTCCCTTGCAGTGGCTGCACCTTTGTCCAATTCCACGTCTCCAAAGTATGACTATATCGTCATAGGAGGTGGTACCAGTGGTTTGGCTGTCGCAAATCGTCTATCGGAGGATCCCAGCGTGAATGTGCTCATTCTTGAGGCCGGTGGCTCGGTCCAGAACAATCCCAATGTCACAACCGTGGATGGTTACGGGCTTGCATTTGGTACAGACATTGACTGGCAATACCAGTCCGTCAATCAGCCATATGGAGGTAACCTCAGTCAGGTGCTTCGTGCCGGGAAGGCCCTTGGTGGGACTAGCACTATAAATGGTTTGTATAACAGTCCGTAAGTTTCACCTGATGTAACTAACAAATTGTCTCTTATCCACAGGCATGGCTTATACGCGCGCTGAGGATGTCCAAATTGACTCCTGGGAAACCATTGGGAACTCCGGATGGACGTGGAAGAATTTGTTCCCTTACTATCGCAAGAGCGAGAACTTCACCATCCCAACCAAATCTCAGGCCTCTCTTGGAGCGTCGTATCACCCTGGATCCCACGGCCAGGGCGGTCCCCTTGACGTTGCCTTCACTAACATCGAGTCCAACAACCTGACCACCTATCTCAACCGTACCTTCCAGGGCATGGGACTTCCATGGACTGAGGATGTTAATGGCGGAAAGATGCGCGGCTTCAACATGTTCCCCTCCACCGTGAATCTTGAGGAGTATGTTCGTGAAGATGCCGCTCGTGCATACTACTGGCCCTACCGGTCCCGGCCTAACTTGCACGTCCTGCTCAACACTTTTGCCAACCGGATTATATGGGAGAATGAAGCCCATGATGGCCACGTCACTGCCAGCGGTGTTGAAATCACATCCAGGAACGGTACCGTCAGAGTTATTGGCGTCCAGAAGGAAGTCATTGTCTCTGCGGGTGCCTTGAAGTCCCCGGCTATCCTTGAACTTTCCGGAATTGGCAACCCTAGCGTTCTTGAAAAGCTCAACATCCCCGTTAAAGTTGACCTTCCTACTGTCGGCGAGAACCTTCAGGACCAGGTGAACAGCCATATGGCTGCTTCGAGCAACATTTCCATCTCCGGAAGCAAGACAGTCTCCTACCCCGATGTCTATGATGTCTTCGGTCATGAAGCAGCGTCGGTCGCCGAACAGATTCGTGCCAATCTGAAGCAATACGCAGCCGACACAGCGAAGGCCAATGGAAACATTATGAAGGCTTCCGATCTTGAGCGTCTCTTCGAGGTCCAGTATGATCTTATTTTCAAGGGCAGGGTTCCAATCGCAGAAGTCCTGAGCTACCCGGGCGGCGCGAAGTCAGTGTCTGTGGAGTTCTGGGCCCTTCTTCCCTTCGCTCGTGGAAGTGTTCACATTGGTTCCTCAGACCCGCTCCAATTCCCTGTCATCAACCCCAATTATTTCATGCTCGACTGGGACGCGAAAAGCTACGTCGCCGTTGCAAAGTATATTCGCCGCGCGTTCGAGACCT